ACGTACAATAAAGTCTTAAATTAACAACTCCACAATTAAAAACTAAAAATAAACCACTAAATATTCGCTAAAAACTACTAAAAATCCAAAACAACAAATAAAGACACGACAGGCAAAAAAAATATTGATTTTCTAACAGCAACCAGCAACAGCAGTGACAGCTTCGTTCATCTGCTATAAAAGTGTGCACTGTTGCACTTCGAACAAGTAACAAATCTACGGTTCAATTTTAACAATGCTCCACCATAAAAAAAGGTGTGGCTTCGGTTGCTAGGTTCCTGTTTTAGCCCTATGTTTCTTTTCTGTATTCTTTTTTATCCTGTGTCCTGGGATATAGACGGACATTTGGTTGGATATCCATATTGGATATATTGAATATCCACAAAATATATTCTGTGGATATCTCTGGGATTTCTTGTATTTTCTGGAAGATACCCATTAGATATTTTGCTGAATATCCATTAGGATATCTTCTATATTCTGGATATAGACGGACATTTGGATATCCATATTAGATCCACGGAATATTTCTGATATCCTGTGGATATATTGGATATCCACAAAAGATATTCTGTGCATATCTCTGGGATTTGGTGTGCTGTCTGGGCAGTTTAACTAACAGGAGTTTAATTTTATTAACTGGTTATATTTAAAGTATAAATGTCAGTTTTTTAAAACTATGTTTAACAATAACCAATGATTATACAACGAGGGTCACAGTTTAAACTGTTTTCATTTTAACTGACAGTTACGCTTGTAAGCATATTCACTTTTCAACGATGTGGTTTTTAGGCTATATACCCTTTGAGCATATCGATGGTTAAAGTTCAAAAACTCGTAAGTCGATTTTGTGATTTATGCGTTTTTGATGGCAAAAGAAAAGACAAATTGCAGATATTTTCAAACTACAAAAGCTAACCCAGACAGCACACCAAATCCCAGAGATATCCACGGAATATCTTTTGTGGATATCCAATATATCCACAGGATATCAGAAATATTCCGTGGATCTAATATGGATATCCAAATGTCCGTCTATATCCAGAATATAGAAGATATCCTAATGGATATTCAGCAAAATATCTAATGGGTATCTTCCAGAAAATACAAGAAATATCAAAGATATCCAGAGGATATATTTTGTGGATATTCAATATATCCAATATGGATATCCAACCAAATGTCCGTCTATATCCCAGGATATAGAAGATATTCGGATATTCAGCAAAATATTTTATGGGTATCTTTAGTAGAGGTTCATAAGTAACCAATGATTATTGAATAACGTCGAAAGAAAATAGCAGAGATAAAAAATATTTTCAACACTCTGCCTTTGATTTTGCCCACTAAGGAGAAAGTCATCCTTATTAGGACTCTTCAGCAATAAATAATTCTCGACTCATCAAGTCTCTAATGGAGTGATTAGGACACAAATTTCGATCGAACTCAATTACGGCGGGTCGAGCATGAGTAGATGCGATAGTGCCCAGACAACACACCAAATCCCAAAGATATCCACAGAATATCTTTTGTGGATATCCAATATATCAGAAATATTCCGTGGATCTAATATGGATATTCAAATGTCCGTCTATATCCAGAATATAGAAGATATCCTATGGATATTCAGCAAAATATCTAATTAGTATCTTCCAGACAATACAAGAAATCCCAGAGATATCCACAGAATATATTTTGTGGATATCCAACCAAATGTCCGTCTATATCCCAGGATATATAATTCAGATATTCAGCAAAATATTTTATAGGTATCTTTAGTAGACATTCATAAGTAACCAAATGATTGTTACGAAAGAGAGATAAACAATATTTCCAACAATCTGCCTTTAGGTTTGTTCGGGTTTCTTTAAAACTCGATGCAAACCGTCCGAGAACCAGTGGAACAGTTCAATTCCAAATTATTCGTCGCATACAACTATTAAACTATCCACTGATCAACTAGTCCTCTGACAGTTCTCATGTATTTTTGAAGAACCCGAACATACCTTTTGAGTTTGCTCACTAAGGAACAAGTCATCCTTATTAGGACTCTTCAGCAATAAATGGAAATTCTCGACTCCAGTCTCTAATAGAGTCTTAATGCGAAAAAAATTTCGATCAACTCAATTATGTCGGGTTGAGCATGAGTAGATACGAAAGTGGTATCGCCATCTATACTTAGGAAGCCAAATCAAAAATTACATCTAGTAGATATCCACGATGGTTTGCGTCCGCGCTAAGACTTTGATGTATGTGGATGTCCATGGGATATTGAATACACCTTCAAAAAATTAATTTTAAATATCTGAACGGTACTATTAGCCACAATGGCGAGCACAATGGCGTAATTTTTTAATAATTTGTTATATAATTACTATATTATTTATGGACATTTGCATGTCTATAAATTACATTTTATGGATATAAAATAGATATCCACCATGGACTGGACATTCAGTGGATATTGGGATGTTCAGTAGATATCCAAAGGATTTTGTGTGCTGTCTGGGTGGTATCGCCATCTATACTTAGTAAGCAGAATCAAATAACATCTAGTGGATATCCACGATGGTTTGCGTTCGCGCCCAGACTTTGATATATTTAGTGGATGTTCATGGGATATTGAATACACCTTAAATAAATTAATTTTAAATATCTGAACGGTACTATTAACCACAATGGCGAGCACAATGGCGTAATTTTTTAATAATTTGCTATATAATTACTATTATTTATGGACATATTAGCATGTCTATAAATTACATTTTATGGATATAAAATTGATATTTACCGTGGACTGGACATTCAGTGGATATTGGGATGTTCAGTAGATATCCAAAGGATTTGGTGTGCTGTCTGGGAATCACTTATATTATTAGTTTTAATATCAATAATAATTTGACTTGCGAACTTCTGTATTTTAAAAATATTTGCAATTTGCTTATTTTTAAAAACAAAAACGCATAAAGGCCGATTCTCACTGTAGTTCAGGTCATGCTCCGCTTACGCTCAAGGCGCGATGCAATATTGTGACACGCTATTTAAATGGAAATATTCATATTTGGCGTTTTGCTCACAATAAGCTCACGATCTTTGACCGCGGTCTTTCTCCGTGCGGATATTTTGATCGAACCGTGAGTGGATCTTTGCGTCAGTGTGTACAAACAACAATCAGACTAGCCACAATTTTTCTATTCTCTAGCAGTGAAATTGCCTCCCGAAATGTAGCATTGTGCTTAATCAAATTTGCTGAAATTTTATTCAAAATTTATTGAAATGTATGTTTTGTCATACGAAAATATTGTATCGTCTACAAGGCCCTTATTTATAGTGGAAAATTCTCCTTCGGTTTTTCGTTTTCTTAAAATATCGTGAACACATCTTACGACGTTTCTGTGTTGTTGTTCTTCATTATTTAAACTAATTGCAATTGCAGCTAAATAAATCAAATATTAAAAATTTGTTCATCTTACAACAGGCATGTGTCGATCCTTTTCATAAAATTGATTAAAAATATTAAAATGAGCGTCAGTTGAGTATAATATGTGAATACTACCTCGAATCCTTGATTGTGAGCGAAGTGTGATCTGAGCGTCTAGTGAGAATCTGCCTTTAATCACAAAAATAGACTTGACAGCTTTTACACTTTAATCATCGATATACATATACCACATACTTCGATTTTCTCTTACTATACGGAGAATGGTCGCACTACACAGCTTTCTGAGTACCTTTTAAAAGAAGATAGAGAACTCCGCCATTTTTAACACTTATTACGTGTTGCCTACATCTTGGCGCAATAGTTTTAGTGGTTATGTTATAATATTTACCCAAAGTCAGTCCCCAAAGATATTATTTACAATTTATTTATAACTTACTAATTAATTTATATAATACTTAGATACTATTATAACTCACAATTCTGATTTATTACAATTTATCTTCTCTTTATAGCACTCGCGCTATTTATATTAAGCCATCTCTGTACCGCAGTAGTTTCTAGGCGATCTCGAATGTCCCAGAATTACCTCTCTATGACTCAACGGACACGAACCGTTTTTTCTGGTAGCTTCTAGAAGCATTGCGTTTGTCTCTGTCCTGCGAATCGAAACATAGACGAAGCGGCTTGCAACGGCTGAGCGGAACAGGGTTGGCTTAGGCGTTCTCACAACAACATATTAAAATATCCGAAATTAAAACAGTAACTCGTATATATGTACAGTGAGCATCATAAGTCTTACCCCCCTATCTAACTCGTTACTGGAGTCTTGTTAGGAAAATCGCCGAGACACGTCGATTTTTAATTTCTACAATGTACATTTTTGTATGAATAGTTTACCCTTAATTTCATCCCTTACTGGAGGGGAGCAACCCTTTCAAAAAATTTAAATGGCATGGGGTGGTGAGTGATAGCTCATTTAAAAGGGGGTCTTATTCTCTATTCAACCGTGTAAAAATCTTTGAAATTTGTTTCATTAACTCTCGACTAATTATTGTTTCAGAATAACGGAAATTAATGTAACGCACACATCCTTAGAATTAAAATTCGGCCCTGCATGATATAGGTTTTGGTTCAGACGTGAAGTAAGACTTTTTGTTATTAGATAAGGGCACTGTTAGTTTAGTTGCTTTCCTATTTGTCATGTTTTGTTATATTTAAACATTAATAAATCAACACGTAATGAAGTAAATTTCAAATTTTTTTGCACGGTTGAATAGAGAATAAAACCCCCTTTCAAATGAGCTATCACTCACCACCCCATGCTATTTAAATTTTTCGAAAGGGTTGCTCCCCTCCAGTAAGTGATGAAACTAAGGGTAAACTATTCATACAAAAATGTACATTGTAGAAATCAAAAAGACTCCAGTAACGAGTTAGGGGGTAAGACTTACGATGATCATTGTACAATGATTTTACTTACCAAATATTTTTACTGTTGACTGTTCGTAATAAAGAAATGGAATGAAAAAGGTAGTAAAACAAATTTTAGACAAGACAGTGCTTTATTTTGTGTAATAGTGCCGTAATCTAAATGTACTATATTTCTTAAAAATAGTGTTAAAACTAAATAAAGATAATAGCGGTGGTGGATGTTAAAATTTTCCATTAGATTTCTGTGTTTATCTTAAACGGTCATATTTTTACATTTTGTGATGAATGATTAAGTTGTTAAATATCGAACCACTTGATACTGCATGCGTGTCTAGTGGTTTGTTAACTAAAATGTATTGATGCTTTGAAAAAATTACGTATCTACCTACCTACCTACCTACCTACCTACCTACCTACCTACCTACCTACCTACCTACTTTTTAAAAGTAAGATACAGTTCTTGAGATGTCATAATCATCCTTGAGTTCAATATCCTAGTTGAAAACTTTTATTTAAATTGTGAAATCATATTTCTACCTCTGGGATACAAAATAATATTAGACTGTTTCCAGTTGTCTTCTTTCTTGGACTCATTAAAATTTGCAGGTTTTATCATAATGGTCATGGGCTTCAATTCCGATGGGTAAAATGGAGACTGCAAGGTAGATATCGGTTTCTCAGATTGTTGTTTAGGTCCTAATTTTTTGGCCTGTCTAGTCTTATACTTGCGTCTGTAGTAGAACACTTCTCCTACTAAAGTGAGCATCGCTAGAGCTAGTCCAAATAGAGTAGCTATGAAAACACCACCTGCAAAGAAGATGTTATTAATTTATGTTTTATGTACCCAAACAGTTTTTATAACCTTCTTACAAGGGTTGAAAGTATACAGCTTTTAATTTACAGACTCTATTTATCAAGTATATTAAAAAAAAGTTTCGAGTAGAAGTAGGTAACTTGAATTTGTAAATTCTTCTGCTCGTTACCTTCAAGGTAATTTCAAACTCAACTTGTTGTTTTTTATAAGCACATAATTTTAAGTGCACCATATTATTTAATTAAAAAACAAATAACTTTTGTCTAAACCGTTTTTTTCCATTCTAAATAATAACAAACATTTTAAAGACAAGATCTACTTCAAAAGACAAATAAAACTTATCCATTAAATACAAATCAATAATTTAACGAAGGTTCAAACTGTGCGCCACCAATTTGTATCCAAGCCTTGAGTGACGAAGTTATCATTTCTCTGGGTATTGTTTGGCGACCTACGCGAATTCTATCTTTTAGATTATCTAAGTTAGTAGGGTAGTTATTTAAATAGTACCAAAGAAAAAATTAAGCGGCATCAGGTCTGGTAAACACGCAGGCCAATGAAAAGCACTTCTGTTTCCAACAGCCATTTGGATACAGCCTGTTCAAGTTATTTGACACAATTTTTGGGTGGAGCCCGATCTTGCTGCCAAACTGGGGCTTGCCTTTCATTAGGAGGAATATTTTTCGTTAAACCTGACAGCTCATTTTGCAAGAAAATTAAATAACCTTGAATGGTTAGGGTTTCTTCGTAAAAATAAAAAAAGGAATTACGCTATAATGAATACAGTTAGGTACGTATATTCGGTTTTTCTTCTTCCTAAACTCGAAAATGCCCAATTAAATTAAATCTTTGTTGAAAAGCATTTAGTCTCAATGTATTTTAAATAGATTTACTTTTTATCATTATCTGTATAGTATTATACTAATTCCAGTTTCTTCTTCCAGAACTACGAAAGAAACGTGTATCGCTACGTAGGCCAAAACATTTATTGTATTTTTTTCATTTCTAGGGTCCTCATGCCTTATATTTAAAGGAAAAGAACCAGTTCGTATTCGTAACTTTGTCACAGCTTATACAATACTTTGCCTCTACTTTCCTTAATGTCATGTGCGAGGGATGGTTACGTCCAGTGGCGGTTTGCCCGTAAGGGCACTTACGTTCCCAAGTGTGCCCTAGTATAATAAACCAAAAAAAGAAATAACTTAGATATTTTATATTTTCCTCAATGCCTATTATTATTTTATCTAATATTCAGCGCAAACCGCGTTAGCACGACACTGGACGACCGGGCGTTGAGCGACATTCCGAGAATTTCGAAATTAAGTGGAAGGGCACAGGGCACAGTAAATGTGTGCCTCTGTTGTTTTCTCTCTCATTATGATGTGAAAAACAAAGACAACGACAATATCGCTTAGCAAGAGATGAACATATGCGATGGATTATACGTCACAAGCAGGGCGCTGTCCTCATTGTGACGGCACAGATTACCTAGACCAGATACATAGGGTTTACCATATCAATACAAAATGAGGAGTTAGAACATGTAAACTAAAAAATGGGACACTCCGTATGTAACCCCATAAGATAAACTTTACATTTTTATTTATTAAAACTTCAGTTATTAATATTTCAAATACAGAACAATTTCTAATAATAATTTAGGTCTTACATTAATAGATTAAGGATTTGACGAATTAAAAAATCCTATTCTTACCTAAACTTTCCAGGGTTATTCCTTCATTATCATCTGTACTGGGACAATCACCTTTGGCTGAATGGTTCCAATACTTCTCTTGTAATCCTTCGAAGAATCTATCTTTTTGAAGTTTTAGAATCCTTTAAAAATATAATTTTAATGATGAAAGTAGTATTTAAATGGCGAATATTAAAGAGCCTCAATAAAAAAATTCTTGAAAGCAGGGCTCTTAATATTTAATTATCTTAATTGTCTTAATTGTCTTAATTGTCTTAATTGTCTTAATTGTCTTAATTGTCTTAATTGTCTTAATTGTCTCAATTGTCTCAATTGTCTTAATTGTCTTAATTGTCTTAATTGTCTTAATTGTCTTAATTGTCTTAATTGTCTTAATTGTCTTAATTGTCTTAATTGTCTTAATTGTCTTAATTGTCTTAATTGTCTTAATTGTCTTAATTGTCTTAATTGTCTTAATTGTCTTAATTGTCTTAATTGTCTTAATTGTCTTAATTGTCTTAATTGTCTTAATTGTCTTAATTGTCTTAATTGTCTTAATTGTCTTAATTGTCTTAATTGTCTTAATTGTCTTAATTGTCTTAATTGTCTTAATTGTCTTAATTGTCTTAATTGTCTTAATTGTCTTAATTGTCTTAATTGTCTTAATTGTCTTAATTGTCTTAATTGTCTTAATTGTCTTAATTGTCTTAATTGTCTTAATTGTCTTAATTGTCTTAATTGTCTTAATTGTCTTAATTGTCTTAATTGTCTTAATTGTCTTAATTGTCTTAATTGTCTTAATTGTCTTAATTGTCTTAATTGTCTTAATTGTCTTAATTGTCTTAATTGTCTTAATTGTCTTAATTGTCTTAATTGTCTTAATTGTCTTAATTGTCTTAATTGTCTTAATTGTCTTAATTGTCTTAATTGTCTTAATTGTCTTAATTGTCTTAATTGTCTTAATTGTCTTAATTGTCTTAATTGTCTTAATTGTCTTAATTGTCTTAATTGTCTTAATTGTCTTAATTGTCTTAATTGTCTTAATTGTCTTAATTGTCTTAATTGTCTTAATTGTCTTAATTGTCTTAATTGTCTTAATTGTCTTAATTGTCTTAATTGTCTTAATTGTCTTAATTGTCTTAATTGTCTTAATTGTCTTAATTGTCTTAATTGTCTTAATTGTCTTAATTGTCTTAATTGTCTTAATTGTCTTAATTGTCTTAATTGTCTTAATTGTCTTAATTGTCTTAATTGTCTTAATTGTCTTAATTGTCTTAATTGTCTTAATTGTCTTAATTGTCTTAATTGTCTTAATTGTCTTAATTGTCTTAATTGTCTTAATTGTCTTAATTGTCTTAATTGTCTTAATTGTCTTAATTGTCTTAATTGTCTTAATTGTCTTAATTGTCTTAATTGTCTTAATTGTCTTAATTGTCTTAATTGTCTTAATTGTCTTAATTGTCTTAATTGTCTTAATTGTCTTAATTGTCTTAATTGTCTTAATTGTCTTAATTGTCTTAATTGTCTTAATTGTCTTAATTGTCTTAATTGTCTTAATTGTCTTAATTGTCTTAATTGTCTTAATTGTCTTAATTGTCTTAATTGTCTTAATTGTCTTAATTGTCTTAATTGTCTTAATTGTCTTAATTGTCTTAATTGTCTTAATTGTCTTAATTGTCTTAATTGTCTTAATTGTCTTAATTGTCTTAATTGTCTTAATTGTCTTAATTGTCTTAATTGTCTTAATTGTCTTAATTGTCTTAATTGTCTTAATTGTCTTAATTGTCTTAATTGTCTTAATTGTCTTAATTGTCTTAATTGTCTTAATTGTCTTAATTGTCTTAATTGTCTTAATTGTCTTAATTGTCTTAATTGTCTTAATTGTCTTAATTGTCTTAATTGTCTTAATTGTCTTAATTGTCTTAATTGTCTTAATTGTCTTAATTGTCTTAATTGTCTTAATTGTCTTAATTGTCTTAATTGTCTTAATTGTCTTAATTGTCTTAATTGTCTTAATTGTCTTAATTGTCTTAATTGTCTTAATTGTCTTAATTGTCTTAATTGTCTTAATTGTCTTAATTGTCTTAATTGTCTTAATTGTCTTAATTGTCTTAATTGTCTTAATTGTCTTAATTGTCTTAATTGTCTTAATTGTCTTAATTGTCTTAATTGTCTTAATTGTCTTAATTGTCTTAATTGTCTTAATTGTCTTAATTGTCTTAATTGTCTTAATTGTCTTAATTGTCTTAATTGTCTTAATTGTCTTAATTGTCTTAATTGTCTTAATTGTCTTAATTGTCTTAATTGTCTTAATTGTCTTAATTGTCTTAATTGTCTTAATTGTCTTAATTGTCTTAATTGTCTTAATTGTCTTAATTGTCTTAATTGTCTTAATTGTCTTAATTGTCTTAATTGTCTTAATTGTCTTAATTGTCTTAATTGTCTTAATTGTCTTAATTGTCTTAATTGTCTTAATTGTCTTAATTGTCTTAATTGTCTTAATTGTCTTAATTGTCTTAATTGTCTTAATTGTCTTAATTGTCTTAATTGTCTTAATTGTCTTAATTGTCTTAATTGTCTTAATTGTCTTAATTGTCTTAATTGTCTTAATTGTCTTAATTGTCTTAATTGTCTTAATTGTCTTAATTGTCTTAATTGTCTTAATTGTCTTAATTGTCTTAATTGTCTTAATTGTCTTAATTGTCTTAATTGTCTTAATTGTCTTAATTGTCTTAATTGTCTTAATTGTCTTAATTGTCTTAATTGTCTTAATTGTCTTAATTGTCTTAATTGTCTTAATTGTCTTAATTGTCTTAATTGTCTTAATTGTCTTAATTGTCTTAATTGTCTTAATTGTCTTAATTGTCTTAATTGTCTTAATTGTCTTAATTGTCTTAATTGTCTTAATTGTCTTAATTGTCTTAATTGTCTTAATTGTCTTAATTGTCTTAATTGTCTTAATTGTCTTAATTGTCTTAATTGTCTTAATTGTCTTAATTGTCTTAATTGTCTTAATTGTCTTAATTGTCTTAATTGTCTTAATTGTCTTAATTGTCTTAATTGTCTTAATTGTCTTAATTGTCTTAATTGTCTTAATTGTCTTAATTGTCTTAATTGTCTTAATTGTCTTAATTGTCTTAATTGTCTTAATTGTCTTAATTGTCTTAATTGTCTTAATTGTCTTAATTGTCTTAATTGTCTTAATTGTCTTAATTGTCTTAATTGTCTTAATTGTCTTAATTGTCTTAATTGTCTTAATTGTCTTAATTGTCTTAATTGTCTTAATTGTCTTAATTGTCTTAATTGTCTTAATTGTCTTAATTGTCTTAATTGTCTTAATTGTCTTAATTGTCTTAATTGTCTTAATTGTCTTAATTGTCTTAATTGTCTTAATTGTCTTAATTGTCTTAATTGTCTTAATTGTCTTAATTGTCTTAATTGTCTTAATTGTCTTAATTGTCTTAATTGTCTTAATTGTCTTAATTGTCTTAATTGTCTTAATTGTCTTAATTGTCTTAATTGTCTTAATTGTCTTAATTGTCTTAATTGTCTTAATTGTCTTAATTGTCTTAATTGTCTTAATTGTCTTAATTGTCTTAATTGTCTTAATTGTCTTAATTGTCTTAATTGTCTTAATTGTCTTAATTGTCTTAATTGTCTTAATTGTCTTAATTGTCTTAATTGTCTTAATTGTCTTAATTGTCTTAATTGTCTTAATTGTCTTAATTGTCTTAATTGTCTTAATTGTCTTAATTGTCTTAATTGTCTTAATTGTCTTAATTGTCTTAATTGTCTTAATTGTCTTAATTGTCTTAATTGTCTTAATTGTCTTAATTGTCTTAATTGTCTTAATTGTCTTAATTGTCTTAATTGTCTTAATTGTCTTAATTGTCTTAATTGTCTTAATTGTCTTAATTGTCTTAATTGTCTTAATTGTCTTAATTGTCTTAATTGTCTTAATTGTCTTAATTGTCTTAATTGTCTTAATTGTCTTAATTGTCTTAATTGTCTTAATTGTCTTAATTGTCTTAATTGTCTTAATTGTCTTAATTGTCTTAATTGTCTTAATTGTCTTAATTGTCTTAATTGTCTTAATTGTCTTAATTGTCTTAATTGTCTTAATTGTCTTAATTGTCTTAATTGTCTTAATTGTCTTAATTGTCTTAATTGTCTTAATTGTCTTAATTGTCTTAATTGTCTTAATTGTCTTAATTGTCTTAATTGTCTTAATTGTCTTAATTGTCTTAATTGTCTTAATTGTCTTAATTGTCTTAATTGTCTTAATTGTCTTAATTGTCTTAATTGTCTTAATTGTCTTAATTGTCTTAATTGTCTTAATTGTCTTAATTGTCTTAATTGTCTTAATTGTCTTAATTGTCTTAATTGTCTTAATTGTCTTGTCTTAATTGTCTTAATTGTCTTAATTGTTGATCAGTTTTTGGGGAGTCTGTTCTTCCGAGTTATTTGGTAGAATCTTTATAATGCAGAAACGGGCAATAAGGTTCTTGTGGAGCACAGAATAGTTTCATGTAGACCGCTGTTCTTAAAACAAAAAATATTAACATTAACTTCTTTAATTATCTTAGAAACTTGTTGCATGATCCATAAGAACAAGTCGAATATTATCTCGTGTAACTCGCCAAACGGGTACGTTGAAGTTGTCTATTCCCAAAACAGAACTTATAAGAGACTCTTATATAATAATGGTATCAAGATGTACAACAGGCTATCTTAATCGTCATAATCGTCTTAGTGGTCTTATTCGTCTTAATCGTCTTAATCGTCGTAATTGTTTTAATCGTCTAAATCGTCTTAGGACAGGTTGTAGAATAAGCAGTTAAAATATAAATTTATTTGAAACTTTGCACCTCGTTGTGTAATCATCGGTTATTGTTACACATAGTTTTAAAAATAACATTTGTACTTTGAATTGAATAGTTAAAAATTATATTCCTGTTTGCTTAATTAACTAAGTTTATAGCATTCTTTGTACAACCTGCCCTTAATCGTCTTAAAATTGTTGTCTTAAAATTCTTAATCGTCTTAATCATCTTAATCATGTCAATCGTCTTTATCGTCTTGTCTTAATATTTAATTGTCGCCTTTGGGCATCATTTGGAATATCTTCTTTAAACTTGCAAATAATAACTTGTTTGTTTGTTTAAAAAATTTGTCACATTTCCATCACCATTGCGACAACATGACTTACTTTATTTTGAGTTTTCTTATTTTTACCGGTGTATACGGCGCGGCTTCAAAACTGATTATTTTAACTCATGCGTCTTTGTCTAGTTGAGAAAGTATTCTATCTAGTGTGTTTGTAAAATAATTTACAATTTTTTTAAATTTTGCCCATTATTTCCAGATTCTACTGTAAATCATTAAATTGCCTCCGGCATACAAAAATACTCACACTTTACTGATATCATCCTGTAAGTGGCTTCCTTGTTGTACAGCGACGGCATACGGTTTCTCGGCGAATACCTCACCAACTTCTGTTAGATTACAATTCCTGCTAATTTCGTATTTGATTTCGCTGGAATCGTGAATGAAAGCGTAATCAGCGTCGAGATGTTCGTTCACATTTTTGAAGCCTTCTTCGGGCGTTGCTACTGGATTCGAATCGTTTATGGCAAGAAGAATGTGACCGTATTGTTCTCTTATAGGGTAATCCCAAACGCGATATCGCTTGTCGTCGGTCGAAGTGTTTAAGGTTAGCTCCTTCCACATTCTGAAAAATATTACATTAACATTATTTAATATAAATAAGTAGTTAGTTAAAAGGAAAGTGAGCATCGATTCGTTGATGACCTCAAGATGGTCTATTATAGCGTTTTTCAAATTGTGGAGTGCTCCGCTTGGAGATCATCGAAGGCCGAGGGCATTGTTGAATGAATAAATGAACAAGACATCAAAATATTACATATTTATTTTGAAAAATTCGTAAAGATATTAGCTTCGTTAGCGGAGTAGATCCCGAACGTATCCTGAACGCTAAGGTAGACCATACACGCCTGCATACACATTTAAACAATACCAATCCATTTATAATATGCATTGTAATTTTTACCTTAGCGTTCGGAATCAGTATAGGATTGTTACCGCGAACAAAGCGCTAATATGCGCCTTCTTAAAGTACACAGCCTGTCCAGGTTAGGTTTGATATTTGAGATAGACATTCTCACTCTAGCTCATTTTATATTTGGGGTTTATTTTTATATAAAGCAGCTAGAGCGGAAATATCAGTTTTAAACAGGTAAGACGTGAGCAGGACATAGGAGAAAGTAGCATTTGTTAAATATAATTCTCACTTGTATCTTTGTAACCCCTACCCTTATATTTGTTAATGTCTAGTTAGTTCATGATCTATGATTGATGTCACTTGTATTCTGTCAGTTGTCTGATGTCCTTTTTTTTTGACTACTTGTAAAACCGATGTTAAAATAAAAAGTGCAATTCACTTTTATTCTTTATGAAAACTTAATAAAACCAGTTGTTGATTAAATACATTTGTCCACGACTGTTCTATAAAACATTCATTATACTTGTACTTCCTTAAGAATAATAATACCACCTATTATTCACTGGTGAATAATGATCCATTAGTCACGGTATGACATCACGATAGCACGTATGTCTAAACTGATATGAAAATATTCTTTATAGGTACCTATTGTTCGTTCAGTATTTTGATTTTTAGGTTTAAAAATCGAAAAATCGAAAATCGAAAAATCGAAAATAAATCGAAAATCGAAAATCGAAAAATCCAAAAATCGAAAAGTGGAAAAAACAACAGTTAGTTACCTATGTTTAATAAAAATTTTCCATTCTACACTTAACTTTTATTTAATAAAGAAACCATAATGGTCGTGGACAAAGTATAGTATTAGACTCGCAATTTATGGCCATTTCTCACTCGGGTGACTTGCGCCCCTCGCCTACGGCTCGGGACGCAAACGTCACCCTGCGTGAATAATGGCTACCATAAATTGCTCGTTTAATAATATAATATTATTTAATCCATTACACATTATTCATCAGGTTATGCGCCCAGTTGTATTTGCAAAAGTGGCTGGTTGTTAATAAGTGTCAAAAAGTTTTGAATAAAGTTGGGCAAACTTTGACTTTACAAATACTGTTAAAAATCGAGAATGGCGGGAGTAAATTATAATTTGATGGTGCCTATTTTAGCAACAAACAATTTTAATAACTATAAATTTCGTATAAATACAATATTAAAACGTGAGAATTGTGAAGAATTGCTAGAGTCCCCACCAATTGCGACAGCTACAGCTGAAGTGCAAAATAAATTTAAAAAGGCTGATGCCAAAGCACAGTCTATCATTGTTCAAGGTGTTTCTGACAAACATTTAGATATACTAAAAGACTGCACAACTGCAAAAGAACAAATAAATGCCCTAAAAGCAGTGTTTAATAGAACAAGTTCTTTCACTAAACTCTCTTTATGGAGGAAATTACTCAATTTAAAGTCTGGAACAAATGAACAGTTGGAAGATCATTTCCTGAAATTTGATACTATAATAAGAGAATTAAAAGACTTGGGGTCAAACATAGATGAAGGTGATAAAATTTGTCACTTATTATTGTCTCTTCCATCCAAATTTGACACACTAATTACAGCACTAGAAACAGTCACAGATGTTAAAATAGATTTTGTAAAGGCTAGATTGCTGGATGAAGAAATTAAAATTAACTCTAAAATGGAGGGTAAACAAATTGAAAATGAAGTAAGTTTTAATGCAACAAGTAGTAAAGGCTGTTTTACATGTGGAAGTTTTCAACACTATCAATCACAGTGTCCAAAAAGAAGTACAAAGTCGAATAACAGTTACAAAGGTTCATATAGAGGGAATTATCGAGGAAGAAATAATAATTACAGAGGTCACATTTATAGAGGTCAAAGAAATCAGCAATATCAGCAAGCTAATACTGCAGGTCAATACCATGAAGAGAATGAAGATCCACAACCAATAATATTATATGCTACAAATGTATGCAATGAATTTAAAGGCAAGACTACACTCGTATTAGACTCAGGGGCTAGTAATCATTTTGTTCAAGCAACTCTTGAAAAATATATGTTTAATATTAAAACCTTGCCAAATCCTGTATCCATACATATTGCAAATGGTGAAATTTTAAAAACAAATAAAAAAAGATTGTTGAAAGCTGAATGTCAAGGTCAAACCATAAGTATTGAGGCATTAATAGTACCAAAAATTAAACATAATCTTTTGTCTGCATCAAAATTGACCTCAAAAGGACATAAAATCATTTTTGAAAAAGATCAAACAACAATTAATGGATATAACTTTACAATAACTTGTCAAAATGAAAATGGTTTATATGTATTGAATTTAGATAGCATTTTTAGAGAAAATGAAAATTGTCATGTGACACTAGCTGAAAATATTTGCCACAGAAGATTAGGCCATGCTAGAAAAGATGCTTTGTCACAGTTAGGCTTGAATATGATTGATAGAACATGTTCTACATGTGTAGAGGGAAAAGTAACTAGGTCTCTACAACAAATGAAAGACACACAAATGCTATAGTAGCCCAATCGAATTAGGTGAAGAACAGGCTTGAGATTCTGAAAAATTGGAAGCAGCAATTTTCCTTCGGAATTCGTTGGAGGGGGTCTCTGGTAGTCTAAATTCAAAAAGTTGGGATTCCAAAGTTGTCGCTACCTCCGCCATCTTGATTTAAAGGGTTATTTTTTGTATCTTGAATAACTCATTTATTTTCAATTTTACAAGGAAAATAGTTTTTACAAAAGTTATTTAAAATTAAATTTCCTACAATTCTGCTTTTTTTTGTACGATCGATTTTTTCGATTTAAACCCGAAAAGAGGGGGTGAATTTTTGGTTATAGAATAACTCGTTTATTTTCAATTTTACGAGAAAAATTGTTATAAACAAAGTTGTTTAAAATTAAATTTCCTACAATTCTGCTTTTTTTTGTACGATCGATTTTTTTCGATTTATACCCGAAAAGAGGGGGGTGAATTTTTGGTTATAGAATAACTCGTTTATTTTCAATTTTACGAGAAAAATTGTTATAAACAAAGTTGTTTAAAATTAAATTTCCTACAATTCTGCTTTTTTTTTGTACGATCGATTTTTTTCGATTTATACCCGAAAAGAGGGGGTGAATTTTTGGTTATAGAATAACTCGTTTATTTTCAATTTTACGAGAAAAATTGTTATAAACAAAGTTGTTTAAAATTAAATTTCCTACAATTCTGTTTTTTTTCTGTACGCTCGATTTTTTGTATTTACCCCTGAGAAGAGTGGGGGTAAACTCTTATCATTGTATTATCACGTTTCTTTTTAATTCCAGGTATCAGCAAAAAAAAACAAACAGAAAAAATAACGGTACAACATCAATAATAAACGTGACAATACAATACTTAGGTTCACCCCCACTCTTCTCAGGGATAAATACAAAAAAATCGATCGTACAAAAAAAAACAGAATTGTAGGAAATTTAATTTTAAACAACTTTCTTTATAACAATTTTTCTCGTAAAATTGAAAATAAACGAGTTATTCTATAACCAAAAATTCACCCCCTCTTTTAGGGTATAAATCGAAAAAAATCGATCGTACAAAAAAAAAAGCAGAATTGTAGGAAATTTAATTTTAAACAACTTTGTTTATAACAATTTTTCTCGTAAAATTGAAAATAAACGAGTTATTCTATAACCAAAAATTCACCCCCTCATTTCGGGTATAAATCGAAAAAAAATCGATCGTACAAAAAAAAGCAGAATTGTAGGAAATTTAATTTTAAACAACTTTGTTTATAACAATTTTTCTCGTAAAATTGAAAATAAACGAGTTATTCTATAACCAAAAATTCACCCCCTCTTTTCGGGTATAAATCGAAAAAAATCGATCGTACAAAAAAAAGCAGAATTGTAGGAAATTTAATTTTAAACAACTTTGTTTATAACAATTTTTCTCGTAAAATTGAAAATAAACGAGTTATTCTATAACCAAAAATTCACCCCCTCTTTTCGGGTTTAAATCGAAAAAATCGATCGTACAAAAAAAAGCAGAATTGTAGGAAATTTAATTTTAAATAACTTTTGTAAAAACTATTTTCCTTGTAAAATTGAAAATAAATGAGTTATTCAAGATACAAAAAATAACCCTTTAAATCAAGATGGCGGAGGTAGCGACAACTTTGGAATCCCAACTTTTTGAATTTAGACTACCAGAGACCCCCTCCAACGAATTCCGAAGGAAAATTGCTGCTTCCAATTTTTCAGAATCTAAAATACTAATCCGATTGGGCTATAGGTGAACTGATCCACAGTGACATATGTGGGCCAATAACCCCATGCACCATGGATGGAGGTAAATACTTTCAAACAATACTAGATTATTATTCCCATTTTGTAGTTGTTAAAATTTTGAATTATAAAAATGAAGCAGAAGACAACTTAAAAGAGTATATCACAGAGATGGAAAGACAACATGATGTGAAAGTAAAGCGTTTTAGACTAGATAATGGTGGAGAATTTTCTTCAAAAGGTTTTCAACAATTTTGTAAACAAAAGGGTATTAAATTAGAATATACAATGCCCTATAGCCCCCAAATGAATGGCAAATCAGAAAGAATGAATCGCACACTATTAAACATGGTAAGAACCAAAATTATTGATTCAAATATACCTAAGATGCTGTGGGGAGAAGCACTAAAGTGCTCAGCATATGAATTGAATAGAACTCC